CTGAAATAAGGAAGCTTAAGGAACAGACTTAGGGGCTGGAGGGCAGGAGTTCAGATGCAGATATAAAGGGTTTGAGATACGTGTTAGACATCTTAATAGAGATGTTAAATATGCAGGTTTGGAGTTCAGGAGAAAAGTGTGGACCAGAGAGAGACATTTGGAATCATCTAGGTTAAGATGCTATTTAAAGCCATTAGATTGAATGAGGTCATAAGGGTGGTGAGAATGAACAGCGAAGTCCAAAGGCCAAGATTTGAGGAGTAGCCATACTTAAAGGGCAACAAGATGAGGATCCAGCAAAGGTGCTGGAAAAGGAGTAAGCAACAAGGTAGGAGACAAACATCATGAGAGGGTGGCATCCTAAAAGGCAAGAGAGAAAAGTGTTTAAAAAAGAGGGAGGGATCAATGGTTTGAAATGCTGCTAATTGGTCAAATAAAATTAAGAATTGCTCTGGGTCACAATGTGGAAGTCACCGGTGACCGAGACCTGAGGAATTTTGGTGGAGTGGTGGGAGCAAATACCAATGTGGTGAGTAGAACTAGAGAGCCCACCATAGACAAACCCAAGACTTTTGCTATCAAGAAGAGCAAATAGATGAAAGTAGAGGCAGGAATGAGATTGAGGTTACAGTGGTGCCTTGGTTCACGAACATAATTCTTTCCACGATTCTGAACTGAATTGGAAGAGAACCGCATCAAATTTCCCCATAAGGTCACCGTTGAACCTAACCATTAAATTTGATTGTACTGTTCCAAACAATGGGAGGAATTACTGTATGCCTATATGCTGATCAGAATGACTCGACACAGTGGGGGAAATAATGATGTAGAAGAAAGAAGAGGGAATTGCTAGAGTGATCCTTTAGGAGGCAGAAGCAGGTGGGACTGAGTGCACCAGTGCAGGGCTTGGGTCGAGATATGCATGGAGGATTGCTCCACTCGGACACTGCTGACACCTGGCGCCAGATAATTCTTTCTCATAGAGAGCTCTTCTGTGCACTGTAGGATGTTAACCAGCATCGCTGGCCTTTATCCACTACAAGCCAATAGCTCCCTGACTCCTAACCAATGTATCTCTAGACATTGCCAAATAGCCCCCACAAGTTTTGTCCCTCTCAGACATTGTGGGGTGTCACAACTAGGTGTTGGACGGGGTGCTACAGGTATTTACTGAGTAGAGGCCAGGCCTGCTGCAAAACATCCTACCATACACAGGACAGCCCCCGCAACAGGGTCACCTAGTCCCAATCCACGTGGCTGTGCTGGAGAAACCCTGATCTAGAGGAAGAAGGCTACAGACGCTGGCAAGAGTCCTTGTGAAAGTTTTTCTTCAGATAGCTTTCATTTTTTTCACCAAAATAGGAAGCAGGGTCATCCCTATAACTCAGGTTAGGGGAGGAGCCCCAGGAGGGTGAGGGAGATGTCTTAGTTACTTGCTATGTTGCTGGAACACAATACCCAACACGACACTCACAACTTAAAGGAGAAAAGGGTTGTTTTGTTTTTTGGTGTTTATGAGACAGGGTCTCATTATTATAGTCCAGGCTGGCCTTGAACTCTCTAGGCAGCCTAGGGTGGCTTCCAACTTGTGGTGATCCTCCTGCCTCAGCTTCCAGAGTGCTAGGATTACAGGCGTGCACCACCATGCCCAGCTTGAAAAGGTTTATTTTGGCTCACAGTTTATAGAGGTTTTAGTCCATAGTTGCCTGGCTCCAAGGCAGGACGGCATGGCAGAGGAGAAAGAGCTCAAAGCATGGCAGGCAGGAAGCAATGGACTAATCATTGATGAGTATCACACTCTCATGATCCAATCACCTTCCAAAAGCCTCACCAATGGGCACACAGGGCTTTGGGGGAACATCCACATAAAAACTATAACAGAAGAGAAGATACGAAACTGTTCTGTTGGAGAAGTGGACACGATTCTGGACTGCAGGGCTCACTTGAGGCAAGAAGTAATAAATTTGATGTGAAACCAGTTGGCCTGGATGTGTTTTTCTTGGGCCATGTTCAGAGACAGAGTAGGGAGAGAGCTGGATTTAACAGATTGTGGTTTTGCCAACTAGTACAAGGAAGCAACGAAGAAGCAAACCAGTGAGTGATGAAAATGACCACAGAATTCGAGCTGAGTAAGAAGACAGAGAGATAAAAGGGACTATAAAAACACAGGTGGCAAAAGGCAACAAATATCTATCCCAGTAGGGTAGTTTCAAGCTATTCTGAATTATGATGAGCTGTTGGCTGAAGGACAAAGCACAATAGTCTCTAAATGAAATCAGGTAAATTAGGCTTCCTGAAATCAATGTTTGGGGCTCTGGTCTCTTAGGTCAAGTTAAGCTAAAGACTGAGTAAGCAACACCAGACATCTGAGAAATCAGAGGGCCTGGAAAACTTGAAATGACTCGTATTAGTTTGTTTGCATATTTTTCTTATAGTTGCTCATATGCCTGTGGATGTGCCTAGGAGTGTCGAGTCTCACAAATATAACTGAACAGACTGAAGTACCAGGCAAAACTGTGGCCGCCTGAGGCATTACCCAACTCTCCATGGCTTCTCAATAGTCAGTCACCAACAGTTGTTTCTAGTAGACTCATGGTCCCTACCATCAAAGATTTTGTTTAAAAAGGTATTCATTTCCTCATTAGCATGCATACAAAATATGACAAGACACCAATGCCACTTTTAGAGGAACAATATGTAGCCTTTATGGACTTGGGCTTTGTACAATAAATTAGGTATCAGCAGGCTGAGTTTAAGCCCAGTTCTGCCACTCAACAGCGGGAGGGTAGTAGGCAAGGGATTCTAATTCTTCAGCTGAAAAATGGAGATAATGTGGTGGTTTATAATCCCAGCACTCGGGAGGCAAAGGCAGAAGGATCACAAGTTTAAGACCAGCCTGGGTTACATAGCAATTTCAAGGGCAAGACTAGCCTGGAGTACACAGTAAGACCCTATCTCAAAACAAAAACCACTTATCATGACTACTTCACGGGGCTATTGCCCAGGAATAATTAAACCACATTGTACTTTACTAATAATAAACATTGCGACTACACTTTCAGAGGGGCAGGGAATCTCCCAATCTGACTTCTGACTAAAGTCTCCCTTCTGGTCAAAACAGAGAAAAGGAACAAGAGCTTTTCGTAAAGGTGGAAATCTCTGTTGCATGCATTACAGAGGCACCAGTTTCTTTGCTTCACGGAGGATAAGTGTGGGAACTTGGCCAGAGCTTGCACTTGACGAACCACCCTTATAGCCAAGGGCAGATAGAAAACTGGAGGGACAGCAAAACACGGAGACACAAAGCAAAACACAACTGGTGGGTATAATTTTAGGGCCAGTTCTTGGCAGTTTTGCTTTGTACTGACAGGAGCTTGGAAACAGGTGGGATGTACTTACCACTGGGTTTCCCATGAGTTACTATGGCTCTCTGACTAGCAGTAAACACAGAGCTTTTATGAATTTGTCTTTTGCCACTCATGGTCATCTCATGGCTCTCAATCTAGCCAACAAGTGCTCAAAAGGCCTCTAGAAAAGTATCAACAAAAAGTCAGACTGGAAAGGGGCCCTGCGGTGAATATTACAAGAAGCTAACTGAGGACATAGGAAACAGTACTAGAAAACCCAAGCACTAACTGCAGGTTTGCCTCTACAAGTTCTGCAGAAATCATCACATGATGGCTAACTGCCTCCATCTTTCTACCTAGAAAACAGGGATAATATTTAGACCCAGAGGTGACAGCAGGGGTGTCTAGCCCAAACCTTGTATTTCACAGAGGAGGAGACTGGGACTTGGGAGGTGAACTGATGTCTCTCAAAAGTGCTCAAGAAAAAAACCCAGATTGTGACCCCCACTTTAGGGCTCGTTTCCTCCACCTGTTTCTTCCAGCTGCCTTCTTAGGGAGACAAGAGTTGGCTGAAGCTGGTACAATCAGTATCATTTCTCTATCATTCTGTCAACCTCAGAAGCCAGGGAAAAGGACAACTGTTGCCTACGGGTCAAGTCCACATGAGCTCTTAAAGATGACTCAGCCCCAAATAGTTTTTAAGGGTATTCAAGCTTGAGGGTGGCGACCAATCCTAGGATGGTGACAAAGATCCACCCAGAATCCCTAGTGAAGGCAAAATGACACTGCCAATGAAATACCAAGAAGAGAGATCATGTAGGAGCCCTTTGTGCTGGAGGGGCCCAGCGCCTTACCTCGGCCACAGTCCTGGAAGCACACCACCAGGCCCAGGGGCTGCACACACAGGCCCGTGCGAGGTTTAATACTCTGCTGTCACCGTTTGAAATTCTTAATAACTTAGGAACACATATCCCGGCATTTTCATTTCAACCCAGGGCCCCTCAAATTATGTGGCCAGTGCTGCTTCCCTCAGCAGCCACAAAAGAGATGGCCTGTGTACATCACCAGTGCACACCACCAGTGCCCCTACCCCTATACAAATGGGACCAAAAGAAAGGCCTGTGATTTTTAATCTGTCTATGGCTTGTGGAGGGGGAAGAACGCTGGGAGAAAGTCAGAGGAAGTGGGAAGTCTCTACCCTTGGCCCAGGGGCCTACTGGGTTTCCCTACCCCAGCAGGGCAGATGCCAGCATAAAAATGGCACCTTGGCCTGGGGTGGTGGCACAAGCCTGTCATCCCAGCACTGGAGAAGCTGGGGTAGGAGGAGCCCCACGAGTTCGAGGCCAGCCTGGGCTACATAGCAAGACTGTCTGAAAAAACCAAAAACAATAAAAAGGCTCCCCCAGCCCGAGCGGCCCGAATCATCAGTTCCAAGGGGCGCTGCCGTCCTCCCTGCTGTGCATTCAGTCTCCAGCGCTGGGGCTGTCTGCCCGAGAGAAAAAAGGGAAAGTAAGCAGCCAGAAAGAACTGTGCCCCCTCGGGGCGCACTTCTGCCCGCAGGCGCTTTGGCTAAAGAAAGTTTGGGGTCAGGTAGTTAGAGAGACTGCGCTCTCAGCCAGGAGGGTGACCAGGTCCCCGGCCCGACTCACGTACTGTAACAAGCGGCAGGAAGTCTGAGGCGCGGGGAGAGAGAAGCTCTAACCCTCCAAAGCCGGATCCCGTCGCGAACTCCAGGCCGCCAGGGAGAGGCGGGGTGGGGCGGGGCCACGGCCGAAGCGCGGGGATTGGCGGAGGCGCTAGTTCTGACGTAACACTTGAATAGACTACCAAGGAAGGTTTCCCGCGCAAAGGTTCCATAGTGTAGTGGTTATCACGTCTGCTTTACACGCAGAAAGTCCTGGGTTCGAGCCCCAGTGGAACCAGAGTTGGGGGTAGATATTTTTCACTTTTGCTATCGTGCTTTCTCCTTTTTAATTAAAAATATTTTTAGCATATTTTTATGTCAGAAGCGAAATGGCAGATATCTTCTATCCCTCAAAGTCACAGCTGCCATCGCTGGACCTTAGAGCCCAGGGTGGAGGCAGGGACAAGTCCTAGTCTCCGCGGGGCCCTACCCACCTTTCCTGCTGGTGCTCCTGGCGGCCTCTCCCTGGAGCCAAGGCCAGCCCCACAAAAGCCTGCAACTAATATGTGTCAATACTGCAGCACTTTGACTGCGGTTGAATTGTTCAAGGTTGATCATGATTAAAGGTTTAATATTTCATTAAACTCTAAAATACAGAGCACAAAACACATAGTCCTTTTCTTTTTAATATAGCAGTAGGGTTAGTGGACTAGACATTCACCTGTTTAATGAAGAATCCATACACTATAGACTAAGTGTCAGGCTTATCGACCTCTAATAAATGCTGATTGACCAAATGCTTCTCTAGTTCCTTTCTGTTCCTCTTTAAGGTTTTATTACAGTTTCGGTTGAGGGTGAGGGGGGCATTTTTCCTTTTTTAACTCTGGCCTTTTTCATCTTTGACAAGAAGAATGAGGGAAAGTTGTCTGGGACTCTGGGCCCAAGGTGTGGGCCAGGGATGGGATAGTGGTGGCAAAAAACTGCCAGGGGGAGGGGAAGTTTGATATTTTTCTCAGCTTTTTCCACTACCCTGGCTATAGTATATAAATCTGCATCTTTTTCTAAGCCAAGAGTATGGCACATGTTTTTCCCTATAATTAATAATCAACTTAATTCTTTTTCTAAACCATTTTAACCATTATGTGTACAGTTCAGTAAAGTATATTCACATTGTTGTGAAACAGATCTAAAGAACTTTATCTTGCAAAACTGAAACTCAATACCCATTGGTTAGCCATTCCCTTTTTCCTCCCATCAGCTTGACTCTTACTGGCTATGTGATAATGTTAGCTGAGTATGCCAAGCACTGTTCTAAGTGTGTGTTTTGGGGTTTTTGTGGTTGTTTTGTTTTTCGGTGCTGGGGTCCTGCATGCTACCCAAGGCTCTATTGCTGAGCTACATCCCCAGCTGCTCTGAGTATTTTATACATACAACATCATCACATTTAAAACTTAAAGTTACTCTATGAAGTAGGCATTTTTATCATTATCATGTCACAGATGACAGCCATTGGCAGCACTGGGATTTGCACCAAGTCTACCTTGGAAAGCTGTGCTCTGAACCCTCCCTGGCTACGCATGCTGCCTTCCTGATTTGCTTAACCAGCCCTAACCATGGATGTTTTGTCTCCAATTTTTTATTAAACAGTATCTCACAGTATCTTTGTGTTAATTGTCCCCTGCCTCCCACCACCAAATCTAGTATTTTCCATAGTGAATAGGATGGCACTGCCATACAGATAACAGAATGTTAGTGCCTCTTTGGCAAGAAATTACTCAAGGTTATCCTAGAAGGTAATGATGAAGAAAGGATTAAGACTGGAGTCTTCAGATTCTAGTTCCTATTTTCCCCCATCACTTCTCTTACATTTAAGTAGAATTAAACCAATATTGCCCTTGCTCAATCAACCTCAGTCACTCTTAGTGTCTTCTCAGAGACTTCCCTATTGAGGGAAGTAACTATATGGGTTAACTTGATGGGGCTCAGCTGAAGATCTAAGAACTAAATGGAATAAGATGCTTAATGAGGCCAGTGCTCAGGTTAATCCCCTGCCCTTGGGCAAGCTCCCCAGTTCAGTAAGGCAGAGCTGTGGCCAAGGACGAGGGAGAAATGCCTGGCAAGATAGAAGTCTTCTTGTTATTACTTCTCTTTGGCTATGAAGGTATGTGCTATTCAGCCATTGGCATCCACTACATACTTAATGACATAATTTAATAATATAGTTGATAAAATAGAAATAGAACTTGAATAATTAATAGTATTAGCAACTCATGTTAACATGTGTTTTTAACAATTGACAGTTGTCTTTGTGTGGATATTATTGTCATTGTCTTGGCTTTGGCTTTCTGCTTCTGTAAGCAGCCTTTTAAAGTTCAAAGGATGCTTAAAATCCAACAGAAAAGAAGGGTCTCCGACATTATATAAAATAATTATTCGCAACAACAACTAATGAGAAACACAAAGTAGTCTTTTGTGTGTGTGTGTGATTTTAGAGATTGAACCCAAGACTTCATACATCCTAGGAAAGTATTCTGCCACTGAGCCCATGCGTGAGGCATTCTTGAAAACATTTAGGAGTCAAAGTTAAAGTGCTTGAAGAATTTAATCTTCCAAAACAGGATACTACTGATAGTAGAGGAGGATACTATTAATAATTCTGCTGGGACAACAGGTTTAAGCCAGGACTGTCCCAGGCAGATTGGAACATAAGGCCATCCTACTTTAAATATGGATTAACATAACACACCGGGCACCACTGAAATCTAATCAAAAGTATAATCCAACTGAGAGTCAGGAAACCTCAAAGACTCAGTATACTCTATCATTTTGAAATTTCTAAATGTAGCCCTGGCAGGAGTGATGCGCTTACATAAGAAAACATTAAAGACAAATCCCTAAAATGTCAGCCAAATCAACATTTAAAGTCTCTCAATCTTAGAAATAATATGCTTTCGTGCCTCTCTCAATTCTCAAGTACCCATCAATTCAGAATTCCCTCTCGGATTCATTTGGACGTTAGAAATTCAATGTCTTCTTTGCGGTTCTTGTGTATTTGTGAACATTATAGGAAATAAACGAAGAGGGCAGGGAGGAGGAGGCCTCTCCAACCTACAAATGACCCGGTGGACAGACAAGAATTCCTGTTTGTATCATTCTCCTCTACACTCTCACTATATTTTACTGAGAGAAAACCTACTTTTGTTGTTTAGTCACATTTCTCAGTAGTTAGAAAGACTTGTGACAATATAATCCCAAGGTCTTTTTGCAAATTCCAAGATATATTTCTAAGCAGGGTTCATTTCAACCAATTTTCTATTATTGTTTTTCCTCCTTGCAATTGAGAGTCAGCAAGCAGCCTGTGCTAGTAACTTTTTTAGTGGGGAGGGTACTGAGGATCCAACCCAGGGCCTCACACATGCTCTACCACTAAGCTATATCTCCCTTGTTCTGTAATACTTAATGCTTTAAGATGCTTTGGGGATTTTGTTCCTTACTTTTTCCTTGCAAGAAGATCCAAGTAGAGTCATTCAAGGTTTAGAACCAAATACCTCTGGTTCACAGACACCCACAGTGCTGGCCCTTAGACTTCTCTTTCATGGCTGGCATTGGGGTGCATTTGTTTGCCCATTTGTTCAAGAACCTATGCCTGAGTATCTTTCATGGGGCAAAAATTTTGGAAGAACCTGACCCACGGGGCAGATCTTGGTTGCTTTGGCAGTGCTTAGTCATCCAGTCCTGGTCCATGACCTCCAAATGGGAAGAAGTCCTCTAAAAATTCACCAATGTGTTTTTAAGGTAGACCTGCCACTGGCTGGGAGTAGTGGCACACACCTGTAACTCCCGCACTCAGGAAGCTGAGGCTGTGAGTTCGAAGCCAGCCTGGGCTACATAGTGAGTTCAGGGTCAAACTGAACTACATAGCAAGACCTTGTCTCAAAAAGCAAAGCAAACAAACAGATAAATTAGACCTGCCTACTTAGTGAACATCATAATAAAAGACACGCTGTTGGCATAGAGGACAGCACTCTTTTCCTGTTCCTTGGCTTATCAGTCTTTGTGCATTCACTGAGGAGCTCCAGAAATGTACAGAAAGAACAGAGAGATCATCTGACCACGTGAAAGGGAATGTAGTTCTGTGGGAAGGCTAAGAGTACATAAATTCTCTTACCCATCCAACCTGGGCCCTTGCCCTCACAGCATGTGGGAGGAAACCAGCCAGCCAAAAATGGCTAGTGTGACTTAGTGACCTCCTGTGTGCTCTACCTTGAGCCACAGGGATTGTCCTGGGGGCAGGAAAAATACAGGACACAATCATTGCACTTAATCAGGGAATGATCCATTCCATCAACAACCGGGAACCTAAAGACAAAGCTTCTTTGTCTGATTGACTCTTTGCTGTTTCTGTTGTTCAGCAGCTGTGAGTCCTTATCACACTGAAGTAAGGTAAATGGATTGACTTGGCTTATTAGCTCAATCTTTCTCCTTTTATTTGGGAGCACACACATCAACACAGCACCACTAATGTCGTAAAACTGTCAAGCTTCTATTTGTCTTCGATTGCACATTTAAATGATATGCTAATTGTGACTTTAAAAACATCCAATCTCTTAAAATACTCGGTCCTGTTTATTACTTGTTATTATATGCCATTACTTGGTCATGTTTATTATATAAAAGCAACAACAAAAATCCATCTTGCAGGTAAATTGGTCCCTTTTGCAGGTGTGCCAAACATTGGGAATTACAGATTTTTGTAAAAAGCAGCTTTACTGAAATGTAATTTACATATAATTAAATTCACCAATTTAAAGAGTACAGTTTAATAGTTTTTAATATATTTACAGATACTTGATGCACACAATCTATTTTGGAACATTTTCATCACCCCAAACATTAAGCTCTCACGCCTACTCCATTTGGTTGATCCCCTCCCCGGCTCCTGGCAACCACAAATCTATTTTCTGTCTCTATAAATTTGCCTCTTCTGGACATGACACATTTAAATGGAATCATAGGACGTGTGGTCTTTTGTCTTTTGCTTAGCATTATGTCTTTGAGGTTCATCTGTGTTGAAGCACGAACAGATAACAGATTTACTCATGAATATGCCCATTGCCT